AGCCTACACTTTGAACCACTCCACTATCTCCCTTTCATGATTTTTTTTTTTTTTTTTGAGATAGGACCTCAAAAACTATTTGCCTGGGCTGGCTTTGAACCAAGATCCTCCTGATCTTTGCTTCCTGAGAAACTTGGATTACAGGTGTGAGCTGAGCCACTGGTGCTGGGCTCTCAGAAGATTTCTTGATCATATCAGGGAGCTTGAATTTATAACTCATAAAAGAGCCTTTGGTTAATATTAAATAGCAGAAAGCTCATCAAATTTGTATTTTAAAATAATCTAAGGGCTGAAAATATAGCTCAGTGGTAGAGAGCAAGCTTAGCATGCTTGAAGCCCTGGGTTCAATCTTAGGGACCAAATTTTAAAAAAGTAATCTAGACATTTTATTGGGCGTAAATTTTGGATAGGGGGGCAATAATATGGGCAAGAAAACTGTGAAGAAACGGGAAGGGTGTGAATCAGGGCTGTGATGAAGGTGGCAAAGTCATGACCTGATTAGAACATTAAACTGGCAGCAACTGGAGTCCATTTGGTGTGGTATGAGTGAGAAATAGGCCATCTTGGTTGGGGGTACCAATAAACAAGATGGGAAACACAGAAAAAGCCTTCTGTCTGGGAGAGGTGGGAGGTGGAATGCAAAGTGAAAAAAAAAAAAGAATTTCAGAGCCAGGCCCTGGTGGCTCCCGTCTATAATCCTAGCTGCTCAGCAGGCAGAGATCAGGAGGATTGAGGTTGGGAGTCAGCCCTAGTAAATAGTTTGCAAGACCCTATCTCAAAAAAAACTACCACAAAAAAGGGCTGGCAGAGTGGGTCAAGCAGTAGAGTGCCTACCTAGCAACCCTGAGGCCGAGTTAAAGCCCCAGTTCTACCAAAAAAAAAAAAAAACAAAAAAAGGAATGCAGTTTTTGATCTATTGAGCAGAAGGTCCCTATAGACATTCAAATGGAGATGCCTAGTTGGAAGTTCTGGGAAAGAAGCTGAGCTAAGATTTAGAAGTTATCACCATGTAAGTGGGAACCACATGGGTGAATATGTGAAACTGTCCTGGGTTCAATCTTGGGGATCAAATTTAAAAAATCTAGACATTCTGTTGGGTGTAAATTTTGGATGGGGGCAAGAATATGGCCAAGAAAACTGTGAAGGGGTTGGGGATTTAGCTTAGTGGAATAGCACTTGCCTGGCAAGTACAAGGCCCTGAGTTTGGTCCCCAGCACCAAAGAAAAAAAAAAAAGAAGGAAAAAAAGAAAACTGGGAAGAAAATGGGAAGGGTGTGAATCAGGGCTGTGATGGAGGCAGCACAGTCATGATTAGGACATCAAACTGGCAGCAACTGGAGTCCATTTGATGTGGTATGAGGGAGCAGAGCACAAAGAAACACCAGCCAGACACACCCAACAATGTACCCACAATTAAGGGAGCAGGTGAAGGGAAGTCCAGACTTTAGTTGGACACTAAGACCAAATGACGTGATAGTATATTGCCCTTCCATGATAAGGTTATGCTTAGAATCACTGCCTTAGATCATTGTGCCTTTAAAGATCATTTGGAGCCAGGGTGCAGTGGCTCATGCCAATAATCCTAGCTACTTGGGATGCTGAAATTGGGCGGATCACAGTTCCTGGCCAGATAGGGCAAAAAAAATGTTTACAAGACCCTCACCCCAATGGAAAAAAGCATGGTGGTGCATGCCTGTCATCCCAGCTAAGGCAGGAAGCCTAACATAGGATCATGGTCCAGGCTGGCCTTGGCAAAAAGCAAGACCCTATCTCCAAAGCAACCAGAACAGAGGGGTGGAGGCATGGTTCAACTGCCTCATAAGTATGAAGCCCTTAGTTCAAACCTCAGTACCACCAAAAATAAACAAACAAACATAAAAAACACCAAAATCAAAAACAAAAGGTCACTTGGGGGCTGGGGGGTGTAGCTCAGTGGTTATCTTGCCCTGGGCACAGGAAAATAAAAAAGATCACTTAAATCTATTCTTTTTTGCCCGGTGTGATGGTGGTACACAACTGTAACCCCAGCACTCAGGAGACTGAGGCAGGGGACTAAGAGCTTGAGTCTAGTACAGGCTATAGCAATAAGACGCTGTCTCAAAAAACCAAAACAGGACAAAAAAGTCTATTCTGTTTCATAGTGGTCCTTAATCAGAAAACTAAACTGCACCTAGCACTATGAGCTACGTAAAAGTTTAACTTCTGCTCTCTGAGGTCCTACCAGCAAAGCTTCAAAGCTTAAAGGCAGCTGTCATGATCCAACTCAGCTCTCTTTTTGGATTAAAAACTCCCAGTTCCTTTAAGAGTTCTTCCTATGCTAATTTTTAGCCTTCATCTCTAGTGGTCACATTTGCAATCTGTCAGTAGATATAGGAAGTGACCCTTTGACAGCATTCTAACTTGCTCACAGTACTGAAGAAATATTGTCTTCCTTCTTTTTCTGTTTATTTGTTTTTGGTTCATCCCAGACTGACCTCGAACTCATGATCCTCCTACTTCAGCTTCACTAATGCTGGAATTACAGGCAGGCACCACCATGCCAAGCTACCTTCTTTTTGAATACTCCATTTTGGTTTTTGTTTTTGCAGTACTAGGGCTTGAACTCAGGGCCTACACCTTGACCCACTCCACCAGCCCTTTTTTGTGATGGATGTTTTTCAAGATTTTTTTTTTTTTTGAGCTATTTTGCCTGGGCTGGCTTTGAACTGCGATCCTCTTGATCTCTGTCTCCTGAGTAGCTAGGATTACAGGCATGAATCACTGGTGCCTGGCTAAAGGTTACATTTCCAACAAGGCAAACTAAAATTAAATTTATGAATGGGCAAGTTACACTATCAGCTATAAAGTACACTGTTCCCTTCCTCAACATGTATATGTAACCCACTCTTTCTCCCCCCACAAACTCTTTTGTTTGGGTGGGAATTGGAGTTTGCCTCAGGGCCTTGCACTTGGCATTCTACCACTTGAGCCAAACTCCTAGCCCAGTTTGTTTAGTTTCCAGGTAGGGTATCCTGTTTTTTCCCCACTAGGGTCAGCCTGGATCACAATCCTCCTACTTCTGCTTCTCTCATGGCTGAGATGACAGGCACTCCACCAAGCCTAAATTTTTTGAGATGGGGTGTGTGTGGGGTCTTGCTAACGTTTTGCCAGTGCTGGCCTTGAATCATGATCCTGCTGATCTCAGCCTCTGGAGTAGCTAGAATTACAGGCATTAGCCACTAAGTCTGGTGGCTTTTTTTTTTTTTTTTAAGATAGGGTCTTACTATGTAGCCCAAGCTGGCCTTGAACTCACCATCCTCCTTCCTCAGCCTACCAAGTGCAGGGATTGTAAATATGAGCTATCACACCCAGCTCCCAACCTACACTTTATATGATTGGCTTCTGTGTAACCTAATTGTAGGTTTCACATTTCTGCTTATTTTTCTTGCACTCACAGGAAAAGCTTTCCTCTTGTGCCTTCCATCACTGGGCACTAAGTGGCCAAGACACCAGATGGTAGAAAAAATCAAAGATAAACATGTAAGAGCAACCATTGGCCTAGGAACCACCAACCTATGATTTTTTTTTTTTTATTGCTATACCTTCTAATTCTATCCTCAACCTGAGATTAATACGGGAAAGGATTAAGGTAGAGTATTTGGGCAACCATTATTTTTGATTGGTTAACTCTATTTTCTGGTATTGTTTATTGATTAGAATTGTTTTTCCATTCTCTTTTGAGTTCTATAATTAGTTCATGTTCCTTCAGTGACACAGGATGGGATCTGTTAACCGATTCAGGCAAATGTTAAAAAAATGGAAAATCCTCACTTAGGAGAGATGGCATAGGAGTCGACGTCAAAAAAGATAGGCAGGCAGCAGGTGTGGTTCAAGAGGTTGAGTGCTTGCCTTGCATGCAGGAGGGGCTGGGTTCAATCCCAGAAAACCCCAAGCCCTCAAAAAAAAAAAGACAGGATATGTTGCCATATGGTACTTGCAGCTGAAGGCTGAGGACATGAACTCATCAAGGAGACCATCTGCTCAGTTCTGGGCTTTGTTTCCCAAAAGGGGGAAGGACTGCCAAGAGTTCACCCTTTATGAAACCAGTATTAGATTGGTTCTCCATAGTTCTCACATCCTTGAGCGTCTTTTTTTTTTTTTCTTGCAGTACTGGGGTTTGAACTCAGGGCCTACACCTTGAACCACCCCACCACCCCTTTTTTGTGTTGGGGTTTTTTGAGATAGGGTCTCCCTAATAATTTGTCTGGGCTGGCTTCCAACCATGATCCTCCTGATCTCTGCCTCCTGAGGAGCTAGGATTACAGGCATGAGCTACCAGTGCCTGGCTTCGTCTTCCTGTTTGTGACCTATCAATGGCTAGGTCATTGTGCATTTGTTTGTTGGAGCCAATGAGTTTACATCATGGCTTCACCATTTATTATGTCTTGTGGCCTTCAGGAAAGTTAACCTGTCTATAACATGGAATTAATAACCGGATTTATCTTAAGACTTATGAGGAAAAGACGTGAGCACATAGAAATCATTATGAATAGTACCAAGCACAGATCATACATTCAAGAAATGTTAGTTTCTTTAGTTCCCTGCCCTGAAATCAGTTGATGTAAGTATGCATTGCTTGTTTGGACTCACAAGATAAACCAGGGCTGAGTTAATTGCTAGCATGTAGATGAATGACTTCTTAAAGACAGTTATGGGTCTTGGTAACATGGTAGGAAAGTTGTTATGGCTCCACATTTCTATTGACTGGGAAGACAAGCCAATTTCCTCCTGCATACGCTTTATTCACACATGCTAAGTCTCACTAAACATATTGATTGGTCAGGGAAGATGACTGAAGAGCAGTTAGGGTTGTCATGGAATCCTTGGTTCTGGCCTTGTTTTATACCAAAGTAAATAAACAGCCGGGAGCAAGACCAAGGTGAAGGGTGTAAGGGTGAGGTGGGGACAAAGTGCAGCTTTATGGGGAGGCAGCTCATGGTGAGGCAGGCAAGCAGGCAGCAGTTCTAGCCAATCACTTTATTTTTCCAGTCAATACCTGCACAGATGCTACTATCCACTGCCTGACCCTAGTAGGGGGTCCCACCGATGGGACCAAAAGAGCAGGTTTCCTTCTTCTTCCCTAGGAGAGTTAAGAAGCCCTCACTTCAACAAGACAGCACATGCTCAGTAACCCTAGCACTTGCACAAGTGCTATATGGGATCCTGCTCTCCTGCATCATGAATGGCTGAACTCTGGCAAGGGTGCAATGCACGGTAGGAAGGCTACAGTGACCTAAGTGTCGAACTACTGGCCTGACCACCACCCCAGGTTTACTCTTTCCCTCCCAGACCAGGACCACCCTAAGTGAGGCCAGTGCCTGTGGGAAGGAAGTGGCAAAGGGTAGGGCTTGCGCTGTTAAGGACAGGACATAGTAGGGAAATAAAGCTGAGGGGAATGCGGGACAGGAGAGGGAAATTATAAAGTGCGTGAACTAAACAACCAAGTGGGACATGACGACAGAGCAGCACAGGTCCCTGAGGATAGGAGGAAAAAGAAAGGGTTAGACCTCCAGGGCTTGGGTCATAGTGGAATGAAAATAGAGATGAGGCAGGGAGGCAAGTGCAGGCTGTGGAAAGGACTTCCCTAGCCCTGTTCACGTCCACTAACCCAAATGGAAAATTATTTACAAACTTAAAACCAATCCTGGGCACGGGTACTGTACCAGTCCCAGAACAGCAAGCAGGCAGGCAGGCAGGCAGGCAGAAGGTGGGCTGGCTACTATCTGATAGCCAGGTTCCCCTGGCATTGCCCCTTCCCAGAGTGGTAGGGAAAAGAGGAATAGCTACACCTCTAGCCAGAAAGCCCTACTGTGCCTGCAGCTCCATCCCCCATGGCTCATGGCTCGAGCTTAGCCTGAGCCTCTTGGTCTGACTGTACCAGAGAATGGATGTCTGGCCCCAGGGGAGGAGGGGGTGGAGCATCAGGAGGCTTTGGGGGTGTCTCTGGTCCCAAACCCAACTCTGCATTTAGCTGCTCCAGCTCCCCCTGATCCAGCACCTCAAAGTCCTCAGTGGCAAGTGCCTCTTCTTCCTCAGGGGCAGACAAGGTTTGGGATGAGTCCTGGGGAAGAGGTGGGAGTATGGAAGGGGAGGGGATGGGAACAGGGTCACTTTCGGCAAGGCAAAGTGGGGATGAGAGGGTGCTGGGTGGAGCTGTGAGGTCACCACTCACTGCTTCTGGGCTCAGCATCTCCACTGGTCCTCCAGGAGAACACATCACCCCATCCTGAGGGGACCCTGCCCCATTGAAGTGCGTGTTCACAAAGTGAAGCGGGGATGAAAGCCGAAGCAAGGTTTCCCTGGCTGCCACATCTTCCTCGTCCTCTTCCGAGTCTAGGGCTTGCCTTGAGAGGGCCTGAGAGGTGCCTAGGAGGTCTTCAGAAGGGGCCAACTCGGCCTCATCCCCCTCTCCCAGCTCACGACTCAGGGCTTCTTCTGGTTCACTTGGCAGGCTCTGCTGGTCCAAATCTGTGCAGAGAACAGGAGATGAGCCTACTGCTCTGACTGGTGAAAACTGCCGAAGAGTCCAAGACAAGAACTTAGGACAAGGAATTCTGGGCCAGGTTTTGGTGTTAAGGTCTTTCAGGAGCTTAGGGTAGAATTAGAGGGTCAGCTCTCTCACAGAAAACATTTGTGGGAAGCTAGAGAGCTCAGGCAGTACTCCATGACAGAGAACAGGAAGATCAAGAGAATCAAAGGGCTTTTCGTACCCTCAGACACATCTGTCAGTTGTGGAGTGGTGGCCCGGGATACAGAGAAGCCTCCACTCTCCAAGATAGAGGCCTCCTCATCTGACAGCTCTGAATCTGTAATGGCCAAGGCCAGTGCTGTTTTCTTCACATCTACCTGCAGGAGCAGCATGAACACAATGGGTGAGGCTTAAGAGGTATCCAGCTCCCAATCCCCCTGGCTCCTACATCTTTAAAGCTGGTTGCTTTAAAGCAGTTAGATTTTCTCTAGCTTTCTATTTGATACCTCATCTCCCCTGGATCTTACCACTGGGGATAAGCCAGCCAGCTCCGCCTCACTTTCACTCTCTGTCTCTGCCAATGGCTCATCACCTCCTGGGGGTGCATTCCTCCCTTGTCGCTCTAGAGAAGAGCAATAAGGTAGTGACAAGGAAGGACAATGGTGGGGAACAAACATGGCCAAGGAACTGGAAATGACCTAAATTCCAGCATACTTCATGAGCAGAAGCCAAGGCCCTCCCCACCTTTCACCCTCCTGGGTTAATCTCTTACTCCTCTTGTCATGTTTGTGATGTAGGGCATCAGCTTCTGCCTTCATACTGTAGTCCAGCTGCATGAGCAAGGGCTCAAGGCGGGTGTACATCCTCTGGATCAGCTCATGATAAACGACCAGGGGCCACAGCAGAATACTCAGCACTATGGGTTAGAAAATCCACTCAGAGATTTCTATACCAATTTTCAAAAAGCCTTCATTCAACTGGTCCCTAAACAAGAAAGTCTGAAGGAAGATGAGGTCCCTTCCTGACTGTATCTACACCTCTCCTCCCCAACGACTCTTCTGCTGTTAACTGGGATATTCTATGGCATCCTTGACCTCCATAAATGGGTAACTTAGCAGAGAGAACACAGACTTCCACCTGGGTCAGTCCAGGGAAAGGAGAGGGCTTTGAAAAGGACAGGGCTAGACCCTACTCACAGACAATGTAGGAAATCATAATCCCTGGAACATAGTGTCCTAGCACAGCCAGCACAGCACAGCCAGAGCAGACTCGAGCACAGAACTGCAGGGAAGAGCACAGGGTCTATGAAAAACAGTGGGCTGAGTTATGTGCCCCACTTATCTAGGTAAGAAACTACGGTTCAGCTGGTAGAAGGATGGGTATTTCCTCTAGGAGCTCAGTGATCCAGTCTAGTCAAGAGAATGCCCAAGTCCATCAATTCAGGAAGTTTGCAATAGGCACTGCTCACATCACTCATCTCCCATATTCCGAATTGCGCGACAAACTGTTATAGGATGTGGGGGAGGTTACCTGAGCTGGATTCTGCCTCTTGTACTGCAACAGCTCTTGCAGGTGAATCTGGAAGGTGAGCCAGCTCTCAGCCAGGTATCTGCACAACTCGGGCACACTCAGCAGGTGCGGCCGGGCGCCTGACCCCGCACCCTCACTGGGGAGACATGACATGACCCCTGGAGGCCTCAGAGACCAGTTTCCTAGGCACTCAAATCCCTTTGAAACTACTGATGAGATCTTCAGTCTAAAGAAGGAGAAAAGCCCACCTCCCCAAGGGAGGCTGTCCTGGTGCGGGGAAGCAAAACCCCAGGGCACCCAACCCTCTGACTTAAAAGGAGCTTACACACAGCTAGCTCCTGCATACAAGCCTAGGACCAACCACACTCTGTGGCTTGCTGCCTGTCCTTTCTCTATGCTGGGGCCTATGCCTACACAAACGTCAGCATCGCTCCATTTACTTGCATCAGCAAACAAGACTGGATTTGGGCGTCTGACTTTAAGAGATGGCCAGTACTCACCTGTCAGAGTGTGGATCCTCAGGGGACGATGCTATAGAGAGAGGAGGGGAGACAAATTACTTAGTAGGAACAATGGAAGACTCTTCCCAAGGTAGAAAGAATTGTCTCTCCTCTGCTGCCCCAGAGCACTTTTTTCAGATACCAACAGGATGTATTACAAAGGTATCTGTCTCCTTCTTGAGACTTAAAACTTTTTTTAAAGGCAGGTCTTGCACTTGCTTGACAGGCACCCTACCACTTGGGCCACTTCACCAGCTCTTAGACTTGACAATTCTCAGAGTAATTACACCTTATCCACGTTTATATTCCAAGCAATTCACACACAGCCTGGTACCTAGTTCCTCCAAAATGCATATCAACTAAGTACATGGAAAACAAGAAAAACAATGAGTATATAAGTTCCATCACAAGTAAATCACGACCATAATTATGTAATATGCACTGACACACTTAATCCGCAGCTCTTTATGGAGTAAATTCTATCATCCCTGTTAGATGTGAAAACGGTGAGGAAGCAACTCTTTGTAAGGTCACACATGTGGTTAAGTGGCAGGGTAGGGAACGGAACCCAGACAGTCTGGCTACATACTCCACAGTCTTAACCACTATACCCACAGAAACGTTAATTTGGGGATGGGGCAATTCTTGTTTTGGATAATTTCCTAAAGTGGGGATGGAAAGTGGAGAGTGTACCTGGGAGGCTAGTAGTTTGCTATATATTCCCCTCACTGTTCAACCCCACCCAAGTATAAAGCAAGAGCACAACTGGTGCTTGCTAAATGAACTCACCTGAAACGTCAGGGAGGAAGCGAGGCTGCCAGAGATCCAGCAGAAAATAGGCCAAAAGTGAGATGCTGAGCAGGAAAAAGGGCCGGAGGGACGACGAAGACAGCAACCTTAGGGAGAGACAGGCATCTCAGCAGGGAGTGGGCGAGAAAGGTTCCAGCGTCCATCGCAAAAGGCGGAAGGTGCCCACAAATGGAGAAACAGCCTTCCAGGCCTAAGTCGCAACCCAGAGACGGAAGAATAGGGCAACCTGGGCGGACGGCAGCCTTCAAAACCTGGGGGACGGACCATTCCCCCAAACCAAATGACAACCCAGAAAGAACAACTGTGCTCCCGGTCCTCCCGCCCCCGCTCTCCCCGGCCCCGCCCCTCCTTCGCGGCCGTTACCAGAAGAGGCCGTTGAGCGCGGCCGCCGTGACCAGGCTGTGCAGCGGTTTCTCCCACACCAGCAGCCGCTGCGTCGCCGCCAACACCGCCTCCCAGCCGCGAAGCCGCAGCCATAGGGTTGTGGCCAGACGTCCCACTGCCTCGGCCGTGGCCGCCTCCTCCTCCGCTTCGCCGGTAGCCTCACTCATGCCGAGGCTCAGACCGAGGCCCAGGCCCAGCCCCGAGGCCCCACCCGCGCCAGTGTTACCACCGCCGCCGCCGCCGCTCGCCATAACCCCGCCGCAGCCGCTGCCCGAGCTCGCGAGGAGCCAGGGCTGCGCGGCCGCCGCCGGGGGCGCGTCAAGCGGGAGGGGGCGCACGCAGAGGAGAGCAGAGCTTGCGGACGGGCGTCACGTGACAGCGGAGCGCCGAGCCCGTCACGTGATGCGGCCTAACCACCTGGTAGGGGCGGCCTGCGCGTGCGCGCTGGCGGCTGCTGGGATCTGAACGTACACAGGTGCGTGTTGTGGCTGCCGGAGTAGTGACCCTGCTCCAGGGTCCAGATGGCTCCCCTTCTTTTCTCTCCCAGTGTTGTCCTGGCGGCTAGGGAGTCCGGTGCTGGCCTGGGTCCTCCGTGTAACTCCGGCTGCCGGGGCAGGAAGTGGGCTTCCTAACGCTCAGTATCCCGGGTACGAACTGCTGTTTGGGACGGGCGGTGGCAGCCCCATTACTCAGTCATTGACGCACTGGTCCTTCCAGTCCCCTCCCCTCAGCGGGTAAACAAACACCAGCGCGTGACCTGCTTGAAAGCAGCTTCACCCACTCAGAAAAGTTGTGTCTTTACCTTCCGTAAATTTCCCCACCTACACCGCTCAGCGTTCCTTCTGCCCCAATCCTCCAGCGTGAGACTGGGGCGGGAGGTTTTTGGAAAAATCTTGTTTAGATAATGTTTATTTTGGGGGCTGGGACATGTTAACATCATTTTTAAGGCTTAAAGCATTTGATTGCGGGAGTAACCCTGCAAGATACAGTACGTTTAACAAGGTTTAGAAGAATTTCAATTTTCTAAAAGGTTCAATAGTGAAAAGTAAATTTCCCTTCCACCTTGTCCACAGTTCTCCCCTTGGTCCGTTTCTCGCGTGTTTTCAGACGTTTATGTACATTGGTGACTGCGTGTGCATCTCCCCTTCTAGAAAACGCGCTGTGCTGCCTTTCCTTTTATTCACGATAATATCTACATTGCTGTGAGATCTGCCTGGCTCGTAAGCCAGTGCAGCGTGGTCCCCTAGGAACTGTCCCCATTTCTCAGATGAGGGTGCCTGGGGCCGAGCTCTGTGACTTGGTCGGGCTGGGTGGCGGAAGGCTGGGGCCTAGCACTTCCTGCAAGCGCTGACTCGTCGGCGACACGCCCGGCGTGTAAACGCGCGGCGGACGCAGCCCGGGCGGATTACGCGCCTGGCAATCGAGCCTGAGCCTCAGCCTCAGCTCACTCCGAGGTGAGCGTCGGGTCTCCGGCCCCGCCGCGCCGCGCCCGGGGCGGAACAGAAAGAGGCGCCCGTGTGCCGGGGCCCCGCCTGCCGCGGCGGGCGTGAAGCGGGGGGGCTGTGCGGGCGAGGGCGGTGGCCGGCTGCGGGAAGGCAGGTGGACGAGCCGGTGAGGACGGCTGCCGGCCGCTTACAACTCCTTCCTCCGTTCCACCTTCGCAGGGCGACGGCTGGCCGCGCGATGGACCTGGCCGGGCTCCTACTGGACGAAGAAGGCACCTTCTCCCTCACCGGCTTCCAGGACTTCACGGTGAGCGCGCAGCCCGCCCCCTTCCCCAGCCTCCAGACGTCGGGAGCCGGGACCCTGGGCGCTCCCCTCCCGGCCCGAGCTGACCGCGAGCTCGCTTGCTTGCCGTGCCGGGGGTTGGGTGGCAGCCGCCGGAGCAGTGCCTACGCAAGGCCCTGGCCGTTTGGGCCCGGAGGCCGAGCCGCGGGGTATAGGAAGGGAAATAGGGTGGCTACGCTGAGGGTCCTTCTAAGAGACATTCTCCCCGGGAGCCCTTGGAGAGGCGGGGCGTTGTCCTTCCTCCTTTGGACCCTGTCAGCCAACAATTCAGAGAAGTCGGGATCGGGCATCGTCCCACTGGCAGCGGCTGGCCTTCTGCTCTGCACCCGCCTTGTAGCCCCAAGCCAAGATAAGATCTCTATCATCTCTTCCCTGCCCTTTATCCTCCACCGCCCCCTGCCCTGTTTCAGTTCCTCCCAGGACACCAGAAGCTGAGTGCTCGGATCCGAAGGAGACTGTACTATGGCTGGGATTGGGACCCTGACTGCAGCCTGGAGGAGCTCTCCAGCCCTGTGGCAGGTTGGCAGCCTTGTATGACTGGGCAAGTGAGAAGCAGGAGAATGGGGTTACCAACAGTCACCCATATGCCTGGAGGTTTATCCTCTGAGCTGCTCTGTCTCATTATAATTACTCATTGAAACTTCATTCAAGAATGCAGGCTATGTTGTGCGTTCTTTTTAGCCCCACATGAATAAAATACACCTCACAGATGGTTAGTAATCTCCCCACCACCCCCAAAATAATGCTGGATATCCAGCTAAGGACCTTACACGTGCTAAGGGAGTGTCTCCCAAGTCATACCCTGGACCTTGGTTTGTATATCAGAAACTTAATTTTCAAGGGCTATTTATCATGTTTTCCAAGTAACACACATGTTTTCCAAGTAAACAAAGCATGTTTATTTTTCACATGAACATCAGTGAAAGATAAATGTGGATAACTAACATAACTGGGGAATAAGTCTTCCTGCTAGAAAGAACTGAAATTCAAATTTGGAATGGGCTTTTGTCTCAGATTGGGAAAATTTGATCTCTTATTCTGTCATTAGGGTTTCATCTCCAAAGCCTCAGATAATACAGACCTGGGTCTTCACAGATAGCAAAGGGAATTGGTGTGTATGATGGTGAGGGTTGTTTGCTCACTTTGCCTTCCTTCTGTCCCCTGAAGACATTGCTGTGGAACTGCTCCAGAAGGCAGCCCCCAGCCCTATTCGCCGACTCCAGAAGAAATATGTAGCTCACGTGTCCCGGTAAGGTTGGAGCTGAGGGGAAGAAGGTGAGAGTATGTGGACCCTAGAGAGATGGGAATGGTTGTTTCTAAAAGACAGGGATGAGCATTGTAAGAGTCTGGAGAGCTGAAGGACCTTTGGGTCCTTACTGTCCTTTCTACTTCCCAGGGAGGCATGTATTTCTCCTTGTGCTATGATGCTAGCTCTGGTGTACATTGAACGACTTCGGCACCGAAACCCGGACTACCTGCAACATGTGTCATCCTCTGACTTGTTTCTGATCTCCATGGTAAGGCACCCCCTTCCTTCATCTCCCTAGTGACCCAGGAACCCGTGTGACCTCTACAGGACACCGCTTCTGGTTTCTCTGCAGATGGTGGCCAGTAAGTACCTGTATGATGAAGGGGAAGAGGAGGAAGTCTTTAATGACGAATGGGGAGCTGCTGGTGGTATGGCAGTGCCCACTCTTAATGCCTTGGAAAGGGGCTTCCTGAGTGCCATGGTGAGTAGCTGTTCTCTCTTTTGTTCTGGTGTCCTGGTCTGTCTGTATTTTCCTTTCATCCTCAACTGTCTGTTTGTTCTCCTGATGCCTTTTTGTTAGTCTTCCTTTTCAATACTTCCAGGATTAACAAGGAGGTTTCTGGAGTAGTAAGGCTAGTAGTGATTTCCTCCCCTATTCCTCCAAGGCCCCACAGGGCACACTGAGCCTAGGGTGTTGGGCTCTAAGTATTTGCTTCCAAACTTTCTCTGCTCCTACATGCTGAACTCTCCTTATGGACATGAACCATTCTCAGTGTTATTTTCTCTCCTCATCCTTAATGGCGAGTTTAATGTGAAACCAGGTAAGTGGTTATTAGATGAGACTTAATATGCAAAACCTCTTGGGACAATACCCAGCACGTAGTAAGTGCCAGATCAGTGTCAGTAATGGTAGTGGCTGTGGTTGTTCCCTCAGCTCTTATTCTCTGATCACTGTGGCTCACATCTGAGTTGGGTTTGTACTCTTCCTTCTTCTTACCCACAGGATTGGCGTCTCTACACTGACCCTCGGGAGATCTTTGAGGTGCTGAGCTGGCTGGAGAGTTGGTGGGTTCTAGGAATTGGGAAGAGGGGCTGAGGCATAAGTGCTAGAAGTGAGGGTCTGTGTAACTAGGGGAAAGGAGACAAGAAAAAATTGCCAGTGGTGGTTCTCAAACCCATCTACCCTTTGGGAAGGTAGAAGCAGCTCATTTAAAATACAGGTGTTGGTCTTAACCCTCAGTTTCTGGATCAGCAGGTAGCCTCGGGATCTGTATACTTAACTAGCTCCCCAGTGCTTTCTGGTGGGTCCCAAGGAGTATGAGGGTGCCCCTGGGCTGGCTGAAAAGAGATGCAGATTCCAGGTCTATCTTCCCCTTCCATCAGTGTGGCTGAGCAGCAAGGGCGGCGACGGGGCTGGTATACCTACACAGACCTGTGTGTGCTGCTGGAACAACCGACCTGGCAGCTGGCTCTGGGCTCCCTCTGCCAGCGGCTGGTAAAGGTGAGGAGGGGTTGGGAAGGAGAGGGTCTTGAGCAGGCTGGTGTTTGGGTGGAATGGTGAAAAGCAGATGTTGAAAGGCTCAGGAGATGGGGTCTGGGAATAGATGGGAAGGGGAAGGCATAGGGTGCTACAGAGAGTTCTGACATCAGAGACTCTGTGTTGTGTGTGTGTTAAAAATAATCAGCAACCTGCTGTTCTTACCTTCTCTCCTGCAGCTATCCTGCCTGTTAGCCATGGCATACATGAGCAGCATGGCCCTTGCTGTGGCATCAGTAGCTGTAATACACCAGTCCTTAGGGCTATCCTGCAGCCCACCTCCTGGCCCCCCCGACCTTGGACTGGTCTCCAAGGGCTTCTTGGAGCCCTACATACCTTCTCCGGTGCCACAGTGCCTTCCGTCTTCTGCTAACATCTCTACCTGCCTGGAAGATGACATAGGGCTTCGTTCACTCTGGGGCAGTCTTGTAGCCTCACTGACTCCCCCACCACTTCCTCCCCCAGATCCCCCTGCCCCACCTACTCTTCTCCATAACTGCCCCCTTTGCCAGAAGCTCCAGAGAGACCCTCCGACCTGCCGTGCCTGCCAACACACTAACCAATCAGTGTCCGCTGAGCCCTGGTACCACACCCATGGCCTGGCCCCATCCTGGACCTGGAGCTCAGTGGCCCCTCCAATCCCCCAGCCCCAGCAGTGTTCCCTTTTCAGTGTCATGGAGCTGGCCCGATTCAAGTCTTTCATTTTTCCAGGCTAGGTAGGGCTCTGATGACTGCATTATGAGGGTTTGGGAGTCCCTGAGAACCTGGAAGAGGAAAGTTTGATTTAGGTCCTGGCTACCTCTCTGGGTTCTTGGGTGGTCCCTTGTCCTCCTGGATAGGAGCATAAAGGGGTTGTGGGGCAGAAGGACTGAAGATCATTCACTTTCCTGGACCTCAGATGCTAACCAGTAGGCCAGGGAAGTGATGGTGCCAGGAGGTAGGCCTCAGCTTGGTGACTGGGGGCATGTCACAGATGACAAAGAAGCCTCCATCTCTCTGTCTTCCTAGTGTTCTAGACTTGGTTTTGAATTTCCTAGGATGGAAGGATAAAGGTGGGAGATAGAACAAAGTGAGGGGAGGAAGGAAACATTGACATGGGCCTGTGTGATGTCCCTGAGGTGGGAGAGTCAGGGACTGACAGTGCCAAGGTAGATGCTGCTGAGGGGAGGCTCACTGAAGGGTGCTGAAACTTTCCACACCTATCCCCTGGATGTAGTAATGGAGCCAAGAATTGATGGGGCCTTCGACCTTGACCTTTTCAAGCCTTCTAGTTCCCTGTTCCAAGGCTTCCCTTTCTTCTGATTTCTCTCTAGGTGTTCTCTTAATAGGCTTCTCCAGCCACTGCTTTGTATCCAGGTTTTTCACGCTTTTGTAGAACTGAGGTTTCAATAAACAGTTTCCATTGCATGGCCTGGCCTTTTCCTTCTGCGGCAGCCCTTGAAGGTCTTTTGATGTCTTCTTCCAAGCCTCCCTAATTCCTGATCCTGTCATCTTGCATTTAATTTGAGTCCGGTTTCAGAACTTCTCTTTGATAGGATTGTCAGAGTCCCGTTTCAAATTACCCTTTGTTCCTTTGCTCTAGCACCTTGGAGGCCTAAGCACTTTGACTTGGTCTGCTACAGGACACGGTGGCTGTCCCTTGCTTGGAGTTGGGGTTGGCCTTATCTATTACAGGTTCTGGGTGAGCACCAGCTTTGTGGATTCCTGTGAGGCCAAGCTATGTATCCAGCAGAATCCTCTGAGCTTGAAAGCAAGCCTGAAGACCCATTCCTCTATGTCGATCTCTTTACCTGGAGGTAGTTGATATTAAAAGAATCAGCCCTGGGTCGTCATTGAAAGAATAGTCTAGGTCCACTGGCCTTAAGAGTTTTTGGACTGCTGAAGATCATCCACAGCAGGGATGCTACTGTCCCATAGGGGGCATTTTTCTGGTTAAAAGGACTTGGGGGGATGTACTGGCAGGATACTACACATCCTGAGATGCTCAAGACTTTCTGTGGCCAGAGCTGGTGGCTCAGGCCTATAATCCTTGCTACTTAGGAAGTTGAGATCAGGAGGATTACAGTTCGAGGCTAGCCCAGGCAAGTAGTTCCCAAGACCCCATTTCCAGAATAACCAGAGCAAAATGGGCTAGAAGTATGGTTCAAGCAGTAGAACACCTGCTTTGCAAGCATGAACTCAAGTTCAAACCCCACCCCCTGCCAAAAAAAATTTTTTTTCCCCTTACTATGAAGAATTCCCAAAACAATCTTTGAATGACTAGCTAGTCATCAGGTATGTGAAAATCCTGTTTATCTGAGTCTTGAACTTTTTTATCTGAGTTGTTTTTGGCAGTACTGGGGTTTGAACTCAAGAGTTTGTACTTGCTAGGTAGGTGCTGTACCCTTGAGCCACACTTCCAGCCCTGAAGACAGGGTCTTGCTATGTAAACCAAGCTGGCTTGGAACTTGCCATCCTCCTCTGCCTAAATGTTGGGTGTGTGTCACCATGCCTGGCCAAGCTTGGAACTATGTTTTACATGCAAACATGATAATAGTTTTTGCACATTTTGATAAATTTCCAGGAATACATGACCATGTAAATTATGTAAATTAAAACTGTACTTTGTTTTGTTTACTGCTTTACCGAAAGTTTGTACCATTTTGGAAAACCAGGTCACCAATGTCAGTACTGCCTGTGGCATTTGAATTGCCAATAAAGTGTCAATATCAGCTGACAGTGTAGCTGTTACATCCATAGTGATTCTATATATGGGTGTGGAGACTGGATTGCTCTATTGTCTTCTGGTTTATATGTGCCCAAGCTTTCACATATTGAAATGCATGTTATAAATTTTACTTCTCCATTACAGTGAGTACATTATATGGAGCTTGGTCATTATTGTCACGTGGGATGTGGGGCATATTATCCATGAGTTTTATTTTGAAGTTATCCAGGGTCTGTCCTGAAAGGTTTGAGATGTACAGATTTAATAGGATGGTGGTAAATGGTGGTGATGGGAAGAAATAGTGTGCAGAATCTCTCCAAGCTATTTTGATAGGTATCCACAACACTCCTATTTTTCACAGCCTAATCTAGGAGCAGGGGATCTGGATGAAGATTCTTGGGGGAGGGGTCCAGAACTCAGTCCCCCAGTTAATGGCTGATGAAATTTGCACAAGAGCTGGGCAAAGGTGAGAGTCAGGCCATGTCCTGCCCTCAAACCCTCATCCCTTCGCTCCGCTTCGTTGACACCCTACCCCCCGCTCACTGCAGGCAGCTAACTTCACCCAAACTCTGACCTCTTATTCTTAGTACTTAATTCTAGTTCAGGGCAGCCAAAACACAGCAAAGGCAGGGCAGCATGAGCCGATTACCTCTCCATCCCACCCCACTCCTATCCGTGAGCTCCCAGGATGCCCTGGCTCCCCTGCCTCCATTGCTGCCTGCTCCCCAGAATCCCTCCACCCCCTCTTGGGTCTCTCGGTGTGGGCCTCCCACTTGGGGCTTCAGCTGTCTTCTGGCTCTGCAGGTAGGAAGCAGAGGTGCAGTTGGAGCTGGCTGAAGGAGGTATTTGGGAAGAGTCAATGTGGCATGAGAAACCCTCTAGAAATAGGTATTTTCACCAATTTCTGAAGCCCACCCCTTCCTATTCCTCCACCGGCAGCATTTCCTGGTCCTGGCTTCTCTGCTCTGTGCCTCACACCTGCTCCTGCTTCACAGTCTCCCCCCAGGAGGACTCTCTTTCTCACCTGCTCAGCTCCTGGCCTCCAGCTTCTTCTCATGTGGTGTGTCTACGGTCCTGCAAACTTGGATGGGCAGCAGGTGAAGGGAACCCCCTGGAGAGAGGGGACAGGCTCCCAGGAAGAGGAGAGGCTTGGGGAGTCCTATTGGCTGCCACATGTTTCTAGATCTGCTGGGGCTGCTGTTCCTACAGGCTCCCTCTTGTCCAGGCTCCATCCTTAGAGTTCCTTATCCCTGCACTGGTGCTGACCAGCCAGAAGCCACCTCTGGCCATCCAGACTCCTGGAAACAGTGAGTACAGACAGGTTGGGTGTTCCTCTGAGCATACAGGTAGAGGTGGTTGCAGGATTGAGGTTGGGCAGTGGTACCTGCCAGGCATTGTAGGGGTATTGGGATTATGCCAGGCACGAGCTAGGACTGGAGTGCATTGGGTGTCCATCCCAGTTACTTTTCTTTTCTCTGTGCCCCAAACTCCTCTCAGCCTCCCTCTCACTGGACCTGTGCAGGTTGCCTGGCTGCCATGACCTGAAGATCTGGCACACTTCTTTCCAAGAGGTGAGTACCTGCGGATGGAAAGGAGAGGAGGGTTGGGTGGCCCAGGCTTGGGGAGGCTCTTGTTTCCATTAAGCAGGGACTGAGATGCTCCGGGAAAAGGAATCAGGGCAGGGACCTATCTCTGAAATTGGTCAGGAAGTCAAGACTGAGGTCAATTTGAGCAGAAAGTTTTTTCTATTCATCTTCTCCTCTTCTCTACCAGGTGTCGGGGGCAGTGACAGTGTCCGGGTTGCTGCAGTGTGCACTAGGTTTTCTGGGAGTGCCTGGCCGCATGTTCCTCTACTGTGGGCCCCTTGTGCTGGCCCCCAGCTTGGTTGTGGCAGGGCTCTTTGCCCACAGGGAAGTGGCCCAGTTCTGTTCTGCTCACTGGGGCCTGGCCTTGCTGTACGTGAGTTCTAAGAGGTGTGGGATGGTGCAGGTGTGCGGAAGGACAGAGCTGTTGGCCTATCAGATTTAGCAGCTACCTGGGCAACACTTTTTATATTTGGAGTCCAAAGCTTTTCCTTGATTTATCTGGTCTCCCAACATGCACACTGTTTCTTGATATTCCCTAGGGTGCCTCCCTACCCCTTCCATGGGAGGTTTCTTCTCTGGAAGCCCTTTTATGTTATTCTGCCCATTCCTACCTCCATGCCCTTACTCAAGATTCTGCTGCCTCTGGCCCCTAAAGTTTCTTCTCTTTTCTAGGCTTATCCTGCTCATGGTAATATGTTCTCAGCACCTGGGCTCCTGCCAGGTGCTCCTGTGCCCCTGGAGGCCAACTTCAACCTCTTCAACTCATATTCACATCCCTGCCTTCCGGCTCCTTTCGGTATGTGTGTCTGGGCAGTTAAGATTAGAAGGCCTGGCATGGAATGCTCCCTAAGTCCCCTACTTTTGGGCTTCTGTCTACTCCACCAAGGCTGGCTCAGAACATTCTGGGGGAGAGGCTCTTTTTTATCTCAGTGTTTTTTTGTGGTACTGGTGTTTGAACTCAGGGCCTACACAATGACTCACTCCACTAGCCCTTTTTTTCTTTTTTTTGTGATGGGTTTTTTTTTTTGAGATAGGGTCTCATGAACCATTTTTCCTGGGGCTGGCTTCGAACCGTGATCCTCCTGATCTCTGTCGCCTGAGTAGCTAGGATTACAGGTGTGAGCCACCAGCTCCTGGCTTCATCTTGCCCCTCAGGTGCTGCTTCCTGTGACCTGTGTGTGGATCATCTCTGCTCTTATGAACCTCAGTGTTATCCCCCTGCAGCTGTCTGTCCCCTCAGTTACTCCATGGTTTTGGCTGCCTCACCCAGGTAGGTTTTCTCCTCTGTCTCTATTTTCTTGCTTGAATCAAGGTATTTGTTTCTTTGAACTCAAGACTTAATGGATTTCACTTCTGAATTAAATCCCATCTTTTCCCAAAGCACACAGGTTAAGAGAAATTACCAACCTGAGGGGTTGCCAACCATCATTACAAGTGCTTTATTTGGGTCAGTCTTTGAGAGAGACATCTGTAGTTTCTTCAAGGCCCACTACTCACTCTTGATATTCCTTATCTAACTTACATATTTACACTACCAATCCCTATGGGCATTTCAGTTGTATCTATCTAGAAAGATTTCCTTTGAGGCATTATATGTGAAATTTGCTCATTCATCTATTTATCATTGTGGTATGATCAACCTAGCATTTTGCACATGCTAGGCAAGCACTCTAAGACTGACCTACATGCTCAGCCCTTTACTAATTAGTTTAATAAGGGTCTGCTGAGTGTTGACTATTTGTTAGCATATGATAAAAGGCATAGCAATGACTCAGTACTTGCCTTCATGGAGTTGACTATTGGAGAACACAGATACTAATCAAATAGGCATTGGACTAAATGTGAAACTGTCATTGTGTTAAGTGTGCCCAAGAGGAGCTATGCTGTGTGGTGACAGCTAATAATGGGGAATTTAACATTATCAGGGAGGTTGGGAAAGCTATTCTTGACCAAGTGGCCATTGAACTAAGATGTGAAAGATGAGTAGGAGCTAAGTTGACAGGAAGTAGGAGAGGAGAGCATTCTAGGTGTAGAGAAGCATATGCAAAGACACAGAAAATCCAAGGTCATGTGTGAGGAAAGTGTGGTGAAGTGATGTGAAGTGTGGCAGGAAATGAGACTAGAGAGAGACTTAAGAGTCAGACCAAAGAAGACCCTGTATACCATGGTAAAGGAATGGGCTTTCTCCTTAGAGTTCAATTGTTTCAAACACATTGGGGCAGCTGGGATACTCCAGACTTGAGTCTGGCCTCAGGTGGCTCCTCCCTCCCCAGGTGAGTGGAACTGGCCCTTGTTGACACCCAGGGCTCTGGCTGCAGGCATCTCCATGGCTTTGGCAGCTTCCACCAGCTCCCTGTGTTGCTATGCCCTGTGTGGCCAGCTGCTGCATTTGCCTCCTCCACCTCCACATGTCTGCAGTCGAGGACTGAGCATGGAGGGGCTGGGCACTGTGCTGGCTGGGCTGCTGGGGAGCCCCATGGGCACTGCATCCAGCTTCCCTAATGTGGGAACAGTGAGTCTTTTCCAGGTATGTGAACTTGGGACAGGGATGGGGTACTGGAGGTGCAAGAGAGGGAAGGAAACTCATCCAGATTGGTTGCTAACTGTGCCCAGCACTCAGTAAGGTTCATATTAAGGTTCATATTAGGGACTTGGAGGTGTGACTCAATCCGTAGAGCGCCTGTTTTGCAATGCAAAGCTCTGAGTTGAAACCCCACTCCCATCAAAACAAAACACAAAAGCGTCTTATTTAAGGAGGTGATAAAGTGCTAGAAGTATGGGGAAGACAGCAAATCATGACAGCAGGTTCTCTACCAAGGCTAAAGAGTAAGTTTGATAAAACCATGCTCTCTTAGCAACTTCACAGAGGGAAAGTAAATAAGATAATCTCAGAGAGCGTGGTAAGTGCTATTAGGAAAATAAAGCAGTGGGTATTGGCTGAGAAAGGAGGTACCTTTGGATAGAGTGGCAGTATGCTTCTTGGAAGGATAACATTTAAGTTGGGATCCAGTGAGGAGCTAGCTGGGCAAAGACCTCATACAGTCCAAGGAGGCGGCTGTGCTTTCTAATGTCTCTTTTTCACACAGGCTGGATCTCGGCGAGTATCCCACTTAGTGGGGCTGTTCTGTATGGGGATTGGGCTCTCCCCAAAGCTGGCTCAGCTCCTCACCAGCATCCCGCTGACTGTTGTTGGTGAGTTGATGTATTGGCAGGAGTGGTATTGAAACAGTACCCCACAGTGTGGTGCCCTTTCTCTCTAAATAATCTTCCTGAATGGATGGATATGAACATTTGTCAGCTGCCTTCATTTTCTCAGCCCAACATTTTAACCACTTGACTGGACTTCTGGTCTTCTTGGAGAATCAGAAACAAGCCTTTTGGTTGTCTCTCTCCATCACAACCAGCCTGCCCTACAATACCCTGTGCTGTGTCCTCTCCATTTCCTTACCCCTTGATTTTTTCTGTATGAGACAGGTGGGGTGCTGGGGGTGACGCAGGCTGTGGTTCTATCTGCTGGATTCTCCAGTTTCCACCTGGCTGACATTGATTCTGGAAGGAATGTCTTCATTGTGGGTTTCTCCATCTTCATGGCCCTGCTGCTGCCACGGTGGCTTCGGGAAAACCCAGTCTCAATTGACACAGGTAAGTGAAGTAGAGCTGGAAAGAGAAATTTCTCCATAGCAGGGTTGGGGCTTCAGGTTGTCTGGACTCCTGACCCTACATCCTTCTCTGGGACTTGGTATAAATAGTTCATTCATTTGTTTAACAACTATTTGTTGAGTACCATGCTAACCACTTGGGATACAAAGGTGCTTCTAACTGTGATAGTCTAGTAAAATGTTGGGCTGAGAAAATGAAGGCAGCTGACAAATGTTCATCAGGAAAATAACAAGAAAGGGTCAGATAAAGTGTTGTGGTGCTCAGTCATGAGAAAAATGGCTTCTGTTTGAGAGGATTCAGTAGTATTGAGCTGTTCTTGAAGGACGGAAAGATTTAAACATGTTTGGTGAGAAGAAAGTCATTTTTTTTTTTTTTGGTAGTACTAGGGTTTGGATGGACTCAGGGCCTTGCCCTTGAAGGCAGGCACTCTTACCACTTGAGCCACTCCACCAGTCCTTTTTTGCAATAGGTTTTTTTTGAGACAGGATCTCACAAACTGTTTGCCTGGGGCTGGCTTCGAACTTCAATCTTCCTGATCTCTGTCTACTCAGTAGCTAGCATTACTGGCATGAGCTGCCAATGCCTGACTAGAAAGTCATTCTTTTTTGTTTGTTTTGGCAGTGCTGGTGTTTGAACTCAGGACCTCAGGCTTGCTAAGCAGGCACTTTACTACCTGAGCCACTCTGGCAGCCCTAGAAAGTCATTCTTGATGGAAGAATCATCATAGACATAGAAGTAGGAAATTATAGGGTATGTGTCCTGAGAGTAGCCAATAGCTTAGTTTGTAGGAAGCAGTTATTTTTCAGGTGGAGGTGGGGTATTTGGCAATGTCTGGAGACATTTTTGGCTCTTACAAATGGGCGACAGGAGAATTGTTACTGGTATTCCAACATAGAGAGATGTTGCTAAACATCCCACAATACAAAGCACAACTTCCTCACAACAAAGAAGTATCTGGTCCAAAATGTCAATAGTACTGAGGTTGAGAATCTCAGGCTGGAGCATAGAAGGTAAAGAGGTGGGAAATAAGATGTGGGAAGTGAGGGAAAGTAAGAGAAAGGAAGCCTGGAACAGTCAAAGAATATCTGGAGGGTGTATGGGTGCTCAGAAAATAGGGTGTTTGAGCAGGGATCCTATGGGAAGGGCCTGAATGTGGGAAATGGAGAATGGAAGGAGAAAAGATAAGGTAGATGGAATGGCAATTCAGAAACATTTATCCTTTGTTCAAGGCTTAAGTTTAGGTCTAGAAGGTTAAGGCTCTCTGGCCTTGGCAAGAATCAGAGTTCCTTTCCTGCCTGGCCCCAACCCTTTATAGGATGGAATTTCCCGGATGTGTTACTGCGCTCCCTGCTGGCAGAGCCCATCTTCCTAGCTGGACTCTTGGGTTTCTTCCTAGAGAACACTGTTTCTGGTAAGTGGAGGCCAAGCCCTAGCCAACTGAGGAGTAGCCAGGAAGTTTTCACTCCTTGGGTTGGGCAATGACCTGGCCAACCCCTGTTTTTCAGGTACACTGCTCGAACGAGGCCTAGATCAAGGACACCCAACTTCTTTCACTGCCCAGCAGGCTCGATTTCCTCTGAAATCCAGGAAGAAAGCTGCTCAAGAGTACGGGCTTCCTCAACCCATTCAAAACCTGTGTTCCTGTATCCCTCAGCCCCTCCGTTGTCTCTGTCCAGTGCTTAAAGACCTTGGGGATGAGGAAGGAGGTCCTGCTGAGCCAGGAGAGACAGAAGACTTATTGCCTGGCTTTAGGGAGCTACGCCCTCTATCAAGCAGAGAAGGACTTAGGTCCCAATAATAATCAGAGTTACTATTTCTGCCCTTGTTAGTTTAGCCCAACTCCAGCTTGATTGAGTCAGCTCCCGGGCTCTACTTTCTTCTAGGGAAAGGATATGTGTGTACTGTACACCACGGATCCATCTTGACATTCCATTTCCCAACAGGATGGATTACCAATTTATCTTTCTCTATTTTTTTTTTTTGGGGGGACTGGGGTTTGAACTCAGGGCTTTGCACTTGCAAAGCCGTAGTTCTAGCACTTGAGCCACGTATCCAGTCCATTTTGCTCTGGTTATGAGGATGGGGGTCTCACAAACTACTTGCCCAGGCTGGCCTCAAACCGCTTTCCCTCCAACCTCAGCCTCCCCAAATAGCTAGGGTGGTTTTTACAAGGAGGATTTGGGGTTTGGAGAGCAGATGGGGAGAATTTTTCAGGGTCAGGAATACAATTTGAGCAAAAGCATGTTGTACAAAATACAAGATGAATTGAGAGTTTTTTTTACATTTCTCAGTGGTGATAGATCACGAGTCCAAGAGTGCATGGAGGGAGAAATGAGGCAGAGGAGGTAAAGGATGAGGACCTGGGAGACTCTTCTCTTCAACAAATTAGTAGTGGTGAGGACCTCAGAGATTATAGAGTGAAATTCAATCCTCTCATTTAAAAAAAAGCTGGACTTCCGTCCAGAGTTTGACAAATCCAAACCCGGTTACATACATCTCGTCGGGTATTCTTCCTCCTCTGCCAGCATGACTCCTAGAAGCGCAACCACCTCTCAACTTCTCCACTAGCCGGCCGCCCAGCCTCTCCCAAGTTTTCCGGGCCGGGCCGTGGTAGCTTTCCAGCTCTACCACAGCTCAGGGGGTTCCAAGGCCCCGCCCACGCCGGGCTTGGGCTCCGCCCCTGTGCCCCGAGGCCCCGCCCCCCGCGGGATGGGGGGTTGTCGGTCTTTAGGCCTTTCAGCTTGCGCGGGAGGGCAGGCCTGAGGCGAGGAGGGTGGGAGCTCTCGCGGCAGCTGACGGTAGGTGGGATCAAGCCCGAGTCTGGTCCGAGACCTGGGCCGGGCCAGGCGCCGAGGGACCGCGCGGACCCTGCGGGATGGGCTCTAGATGGGCTCTTTCTCCCAGAAGGGACGGCGCACAGCCGGGGCTTTGGGGCAGGCCTCCGAGAGTGGGCGGGACTGCGCGTGCGCAATCCGCCTCCGGTGGTACCATGGGGTCTTTCGGGGTTTTGTGAGGTTGTTCTTTGGCTGGCTTCTTGGTGTGGCTGGCTGGCTGGGTGGGATCGGCTTTGTTACACCTTGAACTGTCCTGAGTCATGCCTCAGTCTAGCCGATGCTGTAGAAATGGGAAGGCGGACGGCGAGGCCCTTTCTGCAGAGGCGGATGAAAACTGGGCGCCAGGCGGCGCTCTTGGGATGGGGGCTGTGGTCGTGGGACCGAAGGTTCTCTCTCCCAGGGGACAAAGCGTGGCCCAGGCGGGATGGTCCCTAGGACTTTGCTGCCCTCTTTAGGGTATTGGAGGAACCGCTCTGAGAGGTGCCCCCAGTGGAGGGGCGGAACTTGGTGCAGGTACCAGATTTAGGGAACCCCAGTTCGGCTGTTGTCGTTCGCACGACCTTTCGTACAAGAGTATGAGGGAAAAAAACAGTGAAAGTTAGAGGCCTCAGACTCAGAATTCCCTCCTTCCCCCCAGTGCTGGAGATTGACCCCAGGGCCTCTCGCGTTCTACCACTGAGCTCTATACGTATCCTCAGACTCACAAGGGGCCGAGCGGGAGGAGCAGCTAACGGGGGACTGGTGCTAAATGTATCTGACCTTTTGTAGGACCAGTTGCCCCTAGGTGCATTTTAAACTACCGTCTCCCCCGAAACAAAAACCAACTTGAGGGTTCTTATCTGGTCTTAACGAAGGACGAGCTGGGACGAGACTCTGAGTACACACCAAGAAGTGCCTATAAGAGAAATGAAAAGGCTTGGCAACTTCATTTGCATTTGTGATCTTTGACAGTATGGAGCTCTTGTCCACTGAGGACTAGCGTAATCATTCCAAAACCATTTGCTGTGTTGGAACTGCATGTGGAAAATGTGATGGAAATACCATCTCCACATACAGTTTTTGAAGCTGCTGCAAATCAGTTATCATATACACAGTCATGTGTCCCTTGAGATAGGACACGTTTTGAGAACTGCATTGTTAGGCGATTTCATCATTGTGTCGACATCATAGAATGCATATGCAAATTAAGATGGCTGTAATTTCATTAGGTTGTATGATACGGACCACTGTCATATATGCAGTTTATCCGCTCCCAATATATCATGTTGCGTGACTGTATATCTAGATTTATTGTTCACCTGTCTAGTTATAGTGCAAATTGATGTTACAAGGCCATACGTGGAAAACTAGGGAAAAATGGCTTAGACTGAGATGGTAATGACTGTGTTAATCAGATTTAACAAGACTTTCATTATTTTCTTTGTATTCTAAATTTTCACTTCCTGGCACTTACAGACTGGAAAAAACGGAGCAAGTTTTATCACCTCCCCCCCATCCCCTCGCGCCCCCCCCCCTCCGCCCCCGGGAAAAATAATTACACTTTCTGTCAAGCAGTCATAGTTACTGAAAATTTGCTAGGTTGAGGTTGTGTTAGCTGTTGAGGTAGAAAAGTGAGTGTCTAGGAGTGAAGAGGGCATGTGTGATGTTGGTGGCTGGGCCTGGGAGTTGGGGATATGGGAGATGAGTTAAGTGGAAGTTCATTGTCTCTTCCTCTGTGATGTACTGTGCTTCAGTCATGACTTCCTGTTCATTTGTTGAAAGGAGAGCTTATTGACTTTGTACGTGATTGATTGATCCCTTTAAGAATTTGATGATAGCCATAGACCTTTTCCATATATGCATGTACACACAAATTTTTCTTATAATTCCAGAAGATTTACATGCATAGACTCTTGGTGAAGAACCTTTGTTTTAAGGATATTTTTTCTTCCTGAGAGCTTCCAGAGCTTTGTTTTTAGATAGGGATTAAATAATTTGAATATCCTGCCCTTGACATTTATGACTTATGATGTTTTATAGATAAGAACTATTCTTTTCTGAATGTTCTGGGAAAGCATTGACATATTTATTAGGATTGTGATAAAGAGTCAATAAAAATGGCTTGCATTTCTACATTATGTTATATGGTTAGAATGCAGAAACACTAGCACCAATATGCTGAGGCTAAACATTGTGGACAAAGAAATGTTTTCTATTCTCTAGGGACTTAACATGGAAAAAGATTCTAAATAGATTTTTAAATAGCCAAGAGGTAGTAAGGTTGATGCTCAGTGGGCTGTATAAAGGAGGAAGTTATAAAATTCATACCTTCTGTTTTGTCAAGGAGGGTTGATTTTAGTTGATATAAAGTCCTCCCAGCTACTATTACCCTGAGGACACTTTGCTAAATTACAACGTTCCTGCAGATGGAGAAGCTGGAACAAGGCCTGTTGATGCAGCCGTGGGCATGGCTACAGTTTGCCGAGAACTCCCTCTTGGCGAAGGCTTATATCACCAAGCAGGGCTATGCCTTGCTGGTTTCAGATCTTCAACAAGTATGGCATGAGCAGGTGGACACTAGTGTGGTCAGCCAGAGAGCCAAGGTATGTGTGAAAAGAAGTATTGCTGTGGGTGGTGGGGATGTGATTCTTTCCCGGTGAAGGTCAAGGAACATTGACATCAACCAATTTGGCCACCTGTAGGTTGCCAAGGAAGAGTGACTTGGGTTGAGACAATCATAGGTTGAACATCCCTAATCTTTTTTTTTTTTATTCATACATGCATACAAGGCTTGGTTCATTTCTCCCCCCTGCCCCCACCCCCTCCCTTACCACCCACTCCGCCCCCTTCCTCTCCCCCCCTTCAATACCCAGCAGAAACTATTTTGCCCTTATTTCTAATTTTGTTGTAGAGAGAGTATAAGCAATAATAGAAAGGAACAAGGGTTTTTGCTGGTTGAGATAAGGATAGCTATACAGGGCATTGACTCACATTGATTTCCTGTGCGTGGGTGTTACCTTCTAGGTTAATTCTTCTTGAACTAACCTTTTCTCTAGTACCTGTTCCCTTTTCCATTGGCCTCAGTTGCTTTTAAGGTATCTGCTTTAGTTTCTCTGCGTTAAGGGCAACAAATGCTAGCTAATTTTTTAGGTGTCTTACCTATCCTCACCCCTCCCTTGTGTGCTCTCGCTTTTATCATATGCTCATAGTCCAATCCCCTTGTTGTGTTTACCCTTGATCTAATGTCCACATATGAGGGAGAACATATGATTTTTGGTCTTTTGAACATCCCTAATCTAAGAATCTAAAATCCTTTGGATTTTGGAACATTTGAGATTTTGGATTTGGGGATTAGGGTTGCTTAACTGGTAAAAGTCTATGTGTATATTCCAAAATCCAAAAACTCTGAAACACTCTGTATTTCAGATTAGGGCTACTCAGCCTATCATGAAATCAGTCTCTCTCTCTCTCCTCTCTCTGTGTGTGTGAGAAAGAGAGAGAGGGCGAGAGAGAGAGAGAAAGTCTACATGCATGATAACACATAGTGTGAACTATATTAAGGCTTTCTGTAAATTGATCTTGCCCAGGGCAGAACTGTGAAGTAGTGTGGTTTATCTTGGTGACTCTTCCTGTTGTGATGTTTTTACCTTCCCTTCTGTTCCTCTCATGCCCATTGTCTTCATGTTAACAAGGATTCTCCATTGCTATTGCTAGTGAGAGAGTCATTTCCTTTTAGCACCATCATTCTGTACAACTGCTGTCTCTTTAGGAGCTGAACAAGCGCCTGACTGCTCCACCTGAGGCTTTTCTCTGTCATTTGGATAATCTGCTTCGCCCACTGTTGAAGGATGCTACTCACCCTAATGAAGCTACTTTCTCCTGTGATCGTGTGGCAGAGGCACTGATTCTGCGGGTGCGGAGTGAGCTGTCAGGTCTCCCCTTCTATTGGCATTTCTACTGTATTCTTGCTAGTCCTTCCCTGGTAAGTGCAGTTCAAATATGGGGTACGGGAGCGGGGATGCCAGCTGCTTAAGGCAAGATTTAGCTGTCTTTATATTTTTGCAAAACCTGTTTGAAATTCTTCTCCAATCAGAAAACTTGCCTTGACCAAACAGGAAGCAAAGAGGATCTTTTTTTTTTTTTTTTTTTCCTATAACTAGGGTTTAAACTCAGGGCCTTGTGGTTGCTAGGCAAGTGCTCCACAATTGAGCCATAGCCCCGGCTGCAAAGAGGATTCTTGACTGGTTTATTCTTTCCTTGCAAACAGAGCTGAGATTGGATCTCCACAAACTTTTTTGGGTGACTTCATTCATTAATTTATTTATTGAGTCTTTAGGGAGCATCACCATGTGCTCATTATTGGGTATCCAATAACTTCTTCCTGGACTTTCTAATGTAAGGAGGAGACAGACAGGAAATTCTGATAAAGTGTGGTCAGTTCTTTCAGTGAGGTAGACCCAGGACGGCTGGAGGATCAGAGAAAACCTCTTTGAAGAGAGTTTCTGTGCTGAGTATAGGAAGGGATATAGAACATAGTTGGGAGAAAAATCTTTCTAGGCAAGAGGTGTGGAGAAATTGTCACAGTGAATCCCTTCTGTACAATGAATGTATGCTAATAAAAATGAAAAAAAAAAGAGCTGTGGAGATGTGTAAGGTGGACCAAGTTCAGGAACTTCATGACTGCAGCATAGAAAAGCATGAAAAAGGAGGTAGGCAGTGGCCATGTCTTAAAGGATTCAAGTGAGTTTGGATTTTATCCCAAATGCAACAGTGATTCACTGAAAAACTTAAAACAGATTTTAACAGATCCAGTTTGTGATTTATCAAGGCCACTTTGGTAACAAGATGGAGTATATGCCAATGGTAGGTACCTTTCTAAGTAGTACCTCCTCGTTTAGTCCTATTACTATCCTGCAAGATATGTATTATTTTCCCTTTTTCAGAGCAGAAGCCTGAGATTAAAGATAATTTGTCCAAAGTCATCCAGTTTATAAATGATTGAGCTGGAATTTGGTTCCAGATTGGTCTAATTGGCTTGAAAGCCCACTTTTAGTGACTAGAAGAATCATGTCCTCTGCTCACTTGTAAAAGCTTTAGTATCCCTAGAGCTTTTATTAGAAGTTGAGAATGGAGCTGGATGCCAGTGGTTCATGCCTGTAATCCTAGCAACTTGTGAGGCTGAGATTGGGAGGATTGTGGTTTGAAGCCAGTCCAGGCAACTAGTTTTTGACACCCCATCTCCAAAATAACCAGAGAAAAATGGACTGGAGGCATGGCTCAAATTGTAGAGTGCCTGCTTTGCAAGTGTGAAGTCCTGAATTCAAGTCCCAGTCCCACCAAAAACAAAAGCAAAGCAAAACAAAAATTGAGAATGGACATTAAGAACTAGTTTATAAGCTGGGCACAGTGACTCACACCTGTCATCCTAGCTACTCCAAGGTGGAGATTGGGAGGATCACGGTTTTAGGCCAACCTGGGCCTAAAAGTTTGTTAGACCCCTATCTCAACAAATACAAGGGGGGCATAATGGCACACACCTGTCATTCCAGCTATGCAGGGAGCTTGACAAAGAGGATTGCAATCTAAGTCAGCTGGGCAAGAGCTTATTTTTTTCTTTTGGAAAAATAACTATAGCAGCCGGGCGCCGGTGGCTCACACCTGTAATCCTAGGTACTCAGGAGGCAGAGATCAGGAGGATCGCAGTTCAAAGCCAGCCTGGGCAAATAGTTCATAAGACCCTATCTCAAAAAAAAAAAGCCATCACCAAAAAAAAAAAAAAAAAGTTGCCTTATATACAGAATTTTCCTATTTCATTCAAAAACTCCTATGACTTTTTTCTGAGTGACACCAGGGGGCACTGTTTCCTCAATAATGCTTATTCTAGGACCTAAGCATTTGGATAGCCTTTGGCAATTTCAAGTAATAGCTGTTCTCATTTTGCATTACACAGCCCTACAAATTGAGAATCGTGTGACTGGTAGGGAGGCTGATAGGCTCTAAAAGTTTACTCTTTCCAAAGAATATAGTAGACTGGGGGTATAGCTCAGTGGTAGAAGTCTTGTCTAGAATGTGCCAGGCCCTGGGTTCAGCCCTGGCACTGAAGAAAAAAAAAAAAAAAAAGGCAGTAAAGAACACTTGTATAATTGCATCACAATTAAAGAAAATGTAAAGAAAAAGTAGCTATTCTAGCACATTCTTTCAGTTGAGGAATTACTGTAAGAAAGAAGCAAAAGTGTTTAGAGAAGAATGAGTTTTGAAGTTAGCTTTGAATAATAGATTAGTAAATGTACTTTAAATTAAAATAAAATACTTAACATTAAAAGCAGAATGTCATCCCAGGGAAACCCCTAAACCTAAGGGAACCTTATAAGGAAGAAGTTACAGCCAGTAGACACAGGCAAGGATGTAGGTGGATACTATTTCAGGTGAGTGTGCGTGCATATGTGTGTGTGTGTGTGTGTGTGGTCATGTGGTTATAATTTTTGTTTGCTACTCATTCTTGTGTTACTTTAAATTTACTTTTTTTTAAATGGGTACTCATACCAGACGCAAACATTTCAAACAGGATTTAAAGGTATACAGTCCCTCATTACTGATACTAGCTTCCTATGAGTTTTCTTTCTTTTTAATCTATCTATCTATATATCTATCTGTCTGTCTACCTACCTACTTACCTACCCACCTGTCATTTATCTAATTTTTTTTAGGAAGGGTCTTGCTACATAGCCCAGGCTGGCTTCAAACTTGCCATCCTCTTGCCTTAGCTTCCCAAGTGCTGAGATTATAGTGGTGTACCATCACACCCAGCTTCTAATATAATTATTGAATATTCCATATTTTGATTTGTCACCTCTTTGGCCATTTTATGATCTCTAGGAGTCACATTCCAAGGTTTCTTAGTGGTAGAAGAGTGGTTAGTGGTTTTGGACCCAGCAGACTTGAATTTGTAATTAACCTTCAGACTACTTATATTAACTCGGATAAATATTGAACTTTTATGAGTCAGTTTTTACACCTATAAAATGCAAATACCAATTACAACTTTGCTATGGACTTGTGAGGGTTAAATAAAAGAACATATGTGACATTACTTAACTTTAGAATTATAGTGGACCTATGAGAACAAATACTTCAACTCCATAATTTTTCTTTTTGAAAAAGACAAGGGCTGGGTGCTGGTGGCTCATGCCTGTAATTGTAGCTACTCAGGAGGCAGAGATCAGGAGGATCGCTGCCTAGACAAATAGTTCTCGAGACCCAATCTCAAAAAAATCCATCACAAAAGAAAAGGGCTGGGGGAGTGGCTCAGGTATAGGCCCTGAGTTCAAGCCCTAACACCTCAAAAAAAAAGGACTGTGAAAATAGCTGAGGTGAATTGATTTTCATATCAAGGTGCTGGCAGAGCCAAGACTAGAATCTAGGTCTTTTGATCCTGAGTCTATTACCTGCTTCATTGTATCACCTGAAATGATTCACCTGGGGGCATCTCTCTTCTGCTAGGACTTGTGGGAGATCAGAAGACTTTGGGAAAAATTATAAGTGTTTTTTTCCTCTGGGGAATATTGACAACTTCTGCTTTTATACCTGCCACACTCCTTGACCTCCTTAACTGTCCTGGAGCTCTTTGAGGACACAGACTTTAGAGCACATATGGGGCAACCAGTTAAATTGATTTGTGAGCTGCATCTCTTCATCTTTTGCCATCTGTGAATGAAGGGAAGTGGCCCTGACCTCCTAAAGTGTTGAATAATTTTTCCTTGTCCTATCTGGAGATCTGTTTTGATCTATTTACATAATTGCATGAGTCTTCCTTATGACCATTAACACATATTTTCAGGATTTCTATCCAGCATTCCTCTAAGTCTGAGAATAGAGCAAGGCTATCTAGTTTAAGGGAAATTATTTTAATGTTCATTTAATTTTTAAGTGAATTATGTCTTAATAATTCAGAGTGGTATAACCCAATCCTATGAAATTATTTAAGCAGTTGAAACATTTACTGATAAACCTTTTTTTTTTTTTTTGTGGTACTGGGTTTGACCTCAGGGCTTCATGCTTACAAAATAGGTGCTCTACTGCTTGAGCCACACACTTTCAGTCCATTTTGCTCTACTTATTTTGGAGATGAGGTCTGATGAACTATTTGCCCAGGCCTGCCTCAAATCTTAATCCTCCCAATCTCAGCCTTCGAAGTAGCTAGAATTACAGGCATGAGCCACTGGTTCCCGGCATTATTGACAACCCCTTTTTCTCTTTGGCTATACAGACATTAGGGTCTGATAGATGATTTCGTTTGCCTTGTATGACATTTATTAAAAACTGTTCCTTGTCATGTATCATGCTGTTATATTTAGTGCCTCCCCCAGGCTGGCTATTAACTTTAGGAGTTTCTATTATTTGAGTGGTGCCACAAAATGGTCAGTGTGGCTGTTTGGTTAACAGTGATAATTATTTTCAGTTTAACTTACCAAACCTTCACTGGCTTTGGTACAAGTACTCACCACTTTTTCCTCCTGATTTATCTTTTTTTTTATTTGGTGGTACTGGGGTTTAAACTCAGGGACTGAAACTTGCTAATCAGGCACTCTACCACTTGAGCGACTCCGTCAGCCCATTCCTTCTGATTTATCTTGACCAGGTCCAAATTTAACAATTCCTAGGAAAGAAGGTTGCACCTAGAGGAGATAAAAGCTTCTTTAAAGTCACATTTTTTGCCACATTCTCAGTAGTGCTCCCTGGAGACCTAAGTCTGTCCTTAGGACCTGAGCTAGGAGACAGTGCTAGGTTGGGACATTCTGTGTTCTACAAAGAAGAGACCATTTTATATAGCTGGACTTGACTTCTGGCCTTTTACCCTGTTTCAGTATCCCTGCATTTCTTGGGTCCTGGTGCTGCTACAAAAGCTACTGTCATTAACACCCCCCATCCCTACCCACCTTTTCACTTCTAATCTTCACTCTTCTAATCAATATTTAGAGAAATGTTGAAAAGTGTTTTCCTCATAATTTGAGCCACAACACAAGTAGTATTTTTAGCGGTAACTTCTTCCTAGCCAATTAGTGGAAAGTGAAAACACAGGAGTCTGAAGAGTCCAAACTTCTGATCCTATTCAGATGGATCTTGCTTGCACATCTTATGGGACACTCTGGTACCTTTTCCTTATTTCAAGCCCATGTTGGATGTATGGGCTACAGAACTGAAAATATTGACTATCTGGCTCTTTCCCAAAAAAAAGCTTGCTGACCCCTGCTCTAGGGTATTTCTTCTTCTTAGTGTGTCCTTTAACTCATCTCCTGGGGGAAGGAAAAGGAACTCTGATGACATCCTCTAGCCACAAATAGATTATTGATTTTAGTTATTTTTTTTGGTAGGCTAATGGATACCTTGCATAGGTGAATTAAATGATTCTTCTATACAGCTACACATTATATCAGAGATTACTCTAGTTGCACTGCAATACAGCTATGCTTTTGCATCCTTCTTACCTCTTGTTAAAAGCAAGGTGTGTATACAGAGATTAGTTTATTCCTTCCTGTTCTAGTCTTTTGGTAACTGGCTTGCTTTCATTACAATAATAACCTTAGACTCTGATGCATTTGTGGGAGCAGATTGAAACTGGTTCGTTGTGGGCTATCATCATCCCTCAAGTGGTTCTTAATAAATGTCTGGATCTAATTTGACCTTCATACTTCTCCATTTTCTATTGGTTTTTGGTTTTTGCTATATTCCAGCTAGTGTGTTTTGTTTTAGCCACATCTGCTTTTTTGGTGGGGAGCAGGACTGGGATTTGAACTCAGAGCTTTGTGCTTACTGTGCTACTTAATGTAGGCACTCTACTATTTGAGCCACTTCACTAGTGGCTACACACCTACTTTCTTGAGGATTACTTGGGTCTTTTGCTTTTATCTCTCAGTCTCTGCTGAGAATTGTGTTAGTACTTGTCTCAACTATATCACATTCTGCTCTTTAAATCACAGCTCTGTCAAGGGGTACTCTCCTTTTATTCTTTCCTTTTCTTTTTTTTTCCTTTGTGGTACTGGGGCTTGAACTCAAGGCCTATACCTTGAGCCACTCCACTGGCCCTTTTTTTGTGATTGTTTTTCTTGAGATAGGGTCTCGAGAACTATTTTCTCAGTCTGGCTTCAAACTGCGATCTTCCTTGATTTCTGCCTCCTGAGTAGCTAGGATTATAGGCATGAGCCACCTGTCCTCCTTTTATTCTTTCCACACTTTATATGGCCCACAAAGAAAATCCTTGCACCTCCTTAATATATTTATTTACTTATTGTATTTGTATTTATGTTCTTGTAAATGAATTGCTTGCCTATGAAATTACTGTGAAAACATTCATTCTTCAGTATTTTTTTCTAGTATTTAATTCATTATTAGGAAATACTTTGTAAGCATATGTTGGCTAATCAATAACTCTTCTCCATCAAAGGTTTCCCAGCATTTGATTCGTCCTCTGATGGGCATGAGTCTGGCCCTACAGTGCCATGTGAGGGAGCTAGCAGCATTGCTTCGGATGAAAGATCTAGAGATCCAGGACTACCAGGAGAGTGGGGCTATGCTGAGCCGAGGTAAGGGGCCATTCTTGGAGGAGTGGATAGGGAGCAGTACAAGTAGTCCATCTTAGAAAAGGGGAGAGACTCATTTGCATTAGAAAAGTGGTTTCCCCAGTTTGGGTGCTGGAGACTTGATACTAGATAACACTTCAAGTACCTGGCTGGGGCCCAAGTGACCAATAGAAGCTATAACTCAGCCCAGACATGTCTTAGGTAATGACAAGGAAAGACTTTGGAAAGGTGGTTATAGCTATACAAACTATACTAGAGCAATGTGAACTTGGGAGTTTAGGAAGCTAGATAGCTGTAACTTCAGAATAACAGTTCTGTTTGACCTTTGTCCTTATGGCAGAAAAACCTCTTAGACCAGATGCTGCCCCTGAACCTGCCATTTGTTGCCAATTGCCCTTTCATCTCCTGTTTGCCCATAGACCTTCAACTCTCCTTCTCCCACTGGAATAGGAATATCTGGGTATTATATCCTTCTCCTCTTTCCCAAGACCTGAGCTCTGTTCCTTTCTATCTTACAGGTAGGAAGCTCATCAAACTCATGTTTCTCTTTTCTGTATCTTCTTCCTTACAGGTCGATTGAAGACTGAACCATTTGAAGAAAATTCTTTCTTGGAACAATTTTTGGTAGAGGTAGGGTATTTGTTATTTCCTTTCCCCTTTTACAAATTTGAGAAACTCAAAGTGCCTAAGAGGCAACCTGCATTTTGGGTGTTAGGTGGCTTGTCTGGTTGGAAAGCCCTCTGTCTGTAAAAGTTGCCCTCAGAAAGTTAAATAAAGTTTGAGATATACATGGGGAAGATGGGAGAAAGAGTATAAAAAGTGAAAGTGACTAATTAGCCTTTATAAAACATCTCTGTTAAAGTACAGTGTGTGGAGGAGGGTCGGGTGGGGTTAATTTAGAATTCTCTAATCTTGGAAAACTTGGTTGGCCAGTTGTAAAACTTGATTGTTGATATTTGGATTGTGGAGTAGAAGGATAGTCATTGTTCCTTGTCTAGTCTCTTCAGCATCCAGCAGTAGAAGAAGGTAAAAAGCTCAGGGCTACCATTTGGGGACTGTCTTGTGGGCATAGCAGGCGGTGGAAAATCACAGTGTTTATACAAGGGGACTGGCAAAAGAATGAATGGGGAGTAGATAATTGTGGCCTGTCAGAAGCTTCTGCCTGGGTTTCCCTTCTAAGGATTGAGCTTGGCCAAAAGAAACATCTACTGAATGCCAAACAGTGGGAGTATTAATAATAGTAACCCTTGATAATATCAGTCAATATTGGTCTTTTCCTTTTCTAACTCTTCTGGGACTTGTTGGTTATATAGTTAGTACCTTAGTATTATTACCCCATTTTCTAATTATACATGTTACCCAAGTTGGTACTTTATTATATAAGTAAATAATGCTATTACAATATTGCATTATGTGTAGATTATTCATATTTATGTTTTGTCATCTAGGCTAATTATAGGATTTTTGTGGACAAGGTTTGTGTCTCATACCTTTTTTGAACCTGAAATAAGCATTTTTCACAGTACTAGGCATAAAGCAGGTGTTCTTGATTTGGAACCTTCTGTTCTACCTCTGTATATTGAGTGAGCCATAATTCTTGGATCCTAACACTACAGCAAAAAAATGTGAGTGCTCATTCTACCTGCTGAAACAGTTGTAACTCTAGAAGAGAAGAAAACCTGTGACTAAATCCTGAAGCAGAATAGGTATCAAGTCTTTATGGGGAAACAGACTATTAAACCTAAACTTGTGACGGAATGAAATTTTTTAGGCCACTTTTCTCTCAGCTAGCTTCTCCTGTCTATAAGCTTGAGCATTAAGGAGGTTAATACAGGGTGGGGCTGATGTACTAGTTCCTACCTCAGCTCCGTAGTTCAACAGTGTAAGGCTAATTCTTAGTGTACTTTGCTGATCTAGTGTCTCATACCTATCCAGCTTGACTCTTAGATATTTTATTCTGTATGTTTTATGCTTCAGCCATATTGAATGACTTTTATTTTCCCCAAATGCTATTTTCTCTTGCCTTTATGTCTTTGTACAATTCTTCCCTTTATCTAGAATGCCTGATGCCCTGTCCTTATCTACCTTGTAAACTTCTACTCGTCTTTTAAGCATCAGCTTCAGATTCTTTGGGGCATCTTTTTGAACTCTCCTTGTAAAGATAATTCTTTCCCACTGTTATAGAATCTTGGCTTATACCTCCATTTTACCATTTACAATACTGTAATATACTGTTTATATGTCTGCAAAACTATAGCTTTCTATTATGGTGATCTGTGGACTCTTTGAGAACAAGGACCATGCTCAGTGCATTTTGCATCCCCAGCATTGTTGGTAGTGCTTAGAAATAATAGGTTCTCAATGTTTGTGCCAAGGGGAGTTTGAGGAAATTGTGGCAACATGGTCTGGGGATACAGTGTTGCTTGTTAGAGCTGTATTTAAGGACTTCAGTTGTTCTCATGGTTTATATTGCAGCCTTGAGCAAATCACTTCTCTCAGAGCCACTATTTTCTCATTTATAAAATGGAAGGCTCATCTCTTTCATTGTATTGGGGAGGGGAGAGCCCTGGAGAATAGAATGAAATAGCATGTAGAATCCAGGTGCTAGACCCCCTAACACCTGGTTGGTTGGTGGAACCAACCAGGTTGTTGGTTTTTTGGAACCAACTACTTCAAGAATTTTGGCTTTGTAGAGCTGGGTTATGGCTCAAGTGGTAGAACACCTGCCTAGCAAGTATGAAGCTCTGAGTTCAAATCCCTGTACCGACCAAGAACAAACAAACAAACCAAAAAGAATTCTATTTCTCTAGGTTCTAGACTTAGAGAATTTTATTGGGGGAGTTTGAGGAAATTGTGGACAGGTCTGGGGATACAGTGTTGCTTGCATTAGAGCTTGTATCTACAGGACACTTCAGTGTTCTCATGGATTATATTGACAGCCTGATCAAATATTCTCAAGCACTATTTCTCATTTATAAAATGGAAGGCTCATATCTTTCTGTATTGGGGAGGGGTAAGCCCTGGAGAATGAATGAAATGATGTAGAACAGGTGCTAGACCCAAACCTGGGTTGTTTGGTGGATACGCATACCAGGTGTGGTTTTTTGGAACAACTACTTCAAGAATTTTGGCTTTGTAGGGCTGGGTTATGGCTCAAGTGGTAGAACACCTGCCTAGCAAGTATGAAGCTCTGAGTTCAAATCCCTGTACCGACCAAGAACAAACAAACAAACCAAAAAGAATTCTATTTCTCTAGGTTCTAGACTTAGAGAATTTTATTGTCTATGGAAAGGATCTGAGAGATATGTAGTTGTAAATTTCCATTTTATAGATGAAGAAATTCAGCTTCAGAGAGGTTAAATGACTTTCCTAAGGTCTATATGTTTAGGATTGCCTGTATTTCTTGACTCATAATCTAGAAATTATACCTAATTTTGTTTTGCTACTTCAACTGGTTATAACACCAGTTAAGGAAAACATATAGCTAGGGTAATAGGAATTTTTGTGACCTCTGGGGTCACTCTACTGTCTCAGAATGTCCTGCATAGGTGTTAGAACCAAAAGATTTCCTGTTGGGGCTGCAGAGCTATGGCTACTGCATCTTTTCATTTACTGTGCTTGCCTGGGGTCCTACAAACAGGACGCAGAAGGGTCATAGGGTCATCCAAGACTGAACTGAAAGGATGTGCCATCAAAATAAGCAACATAGAATAGGAAGATAAACAAACCAGGGAGACAGCTTGGGATGAAGGCACAGTGGGGCCTGGGCAATGTCATAAGGGCCCATGCGGTCAGCGCCTGGGGTCACTTCTGTCCTCATTGGAAATAGTACTAGGCAAGAGGTCATAGATACAGGACACAGGAGCAGTAGGGCAGGGAGATTTCTAAGATACTAAAACTAGGAAAAATATTTTAGGATAGAACAGGGGTTCCTTCTCATATTTTGGTCATTTTGTTTTTCTTCTTCCCATAAGAACCTCTGATTTTTCACTTCTAGGGAACAACAGGGGCCAATATCTAGTAGCCTAACTAGAGGGAGAGCTGGCAATGTTAATTCAAGTAAGGGCGGGGTGAGGTGGTTATTGGCATGATTCTCATATAGAGCAAGAGCCCCATAGTGAGCATTTCCCAGGACTAAAGGCTGAGCGACATCTTTAGGAGTGGAAGAAAAGTCAAGGAATTGGGATATTATACATGGCAGAAGGAACTGTGTTAAAGAGGAATTTAGTATGAGTGGGCTGGCATAGCCTCCTCTCAGTCTAGTCCACTGGAGGGAGTGCCTTCCCCTGTCCATGCCTCTCTCCATCTGGTTGCTATCAGGCTGTGTGGCTGCTGGCAGGCTCTTTATTTATTTATCCCAGTGTAATGGGGTGAGGAGGGAGCTGGCCTGAGGCTAGCTTTCTGAGGCCATGCCACTCAGCCACAGGCGGTTTGCATGGGTGTGTGAGTCACTGGAGCTGCATGCTGCTCAAACCAGACGCGGCCAGGCTCAGGGACAGCAGGCAGCCCAAAATAGAGCCCCGCCCTCTGCAGCTGGCAACCTCTGGCTAGGAATCAGCTCTTGACACCAAAACCTGGCTTCCCCTCTGTAGAAGCCCTTATCAGAGATAGAGATTTTTCAAGTCTCTCTTCCTCTGTCTTCATTCAAGGGCATAGCAGTCTGTTCAGTATAATATCGAGAAATTTGGGGACCATAGTTAACATTGATTTGACTCAGCATCGTAAATGTAGCCATGGTTATTGTATCCTGTCTACTTTTAGTTACTATCTTCTTTGCTGTCTAGTTGTAGCCTGATTCTAGAACAGATACTTAATGCTATGAAGAAGATATTCATTGCTGTTGTTAAGCAGCTAGAGTTTATATCAAAGTTATCTTGGAGATATGGGGAGACCTTTAACCTGATCCTGCTCAAAGGCCTTGACCCCTTAGCTCTTCCTGAAAAGCAACAAAGCAGCATGTTATTCTCCACAGCCCCCTGTACAAACCTCTGCCACAGCATTTGTCATAAGAGTATACAAAAAGGAAGGGGAAGGGAGGAAGGGAGACAGTGATAGTTACATGGTCGATCCCTTCCCATGTAGGATTTTCCATTACAGTGCTTCTCATTTTTTTTTTTTTTTGAGACAGGCTCTATAGCCCAGTCTGTCCTCAAACTTATGATCCTCCTTGCCTCAGCCTCTTGAGTATTGAGATTATAGATGTGAACCACCATGCTTGGCTCAGTAGTCTTTCTTAACATGGTTTGCATACTGCAACCCTCTTCTGTCTTTCTTCTTACCTCATTGATTGTTCCTACTCACAAATTTTGCTGGTTCTTCTTCTCCCTTATGTTACTGTTGGTATGCCCCAAGACTCAGTCCTTTTTTCCCTCTCATTCTTTTATTGATATCAGCTAGTCCTACAACTTTAAATACTTTCTTGTTGATGGATCCCAAATTTAATCTTTGTTGTAGACCTTACTCTACAACTCCAAACTGCCTGCTCAGTATTTTCCTGTGGAAATTTAACAGACATCTTATATTCAACATGTCCAAAACTGAATTCCAAGTCTTAACCCCAAAATTACTTTTCCAACAACCTAACCCATTCCCATTCTTTCTCTTGTTTATGCCAAAATTTTAAAGTCATC